ACGACGACGACTACTACTACTATTGATTTCGGGCTTCCGGTCTTTTGTTTGACCGACTTCGTACCTTCGACAGATCCACGACCTTAGGACTTTGGGCAACGCCCTACTCCACTACAGATGCTCAAGGAGAAGGTCCTTATTGTGTTACTCCATGGAACCCCAAACCCCAACAACCTAAATCCCCGAATCGCCCCATCACAAAAAGCCTGAGACGCCAAAACCAAAAGCCCGCAGACCCGCAAACCCAAGAATGAGCCTTAAAAACCTAATCGGTAGCAGCTGCCGGCCTTGTCCATCGGCGCGAAAGACGAAATACCTCAGAGCTCATAAGATCCGACATCCTCACAAGCTTTACCACCTACAGTTTTACAGCCAATGGGTAGATGGTATGATATTCGAGATTTGCCAGACATTTAGCGACATAAACAGCGACGAGCAAGAAAAGAGAACCACACGCATCACTGTGATGCCACAGGCCGATGCATCCCACTTACAACATCGAGTTGCCAAAGAGTGCATACGACGTACAACTTGGAGCCACTAGGATTTGCAGTCGAGCGACTACTTCCTTTCCCTTCCCTATTCCCCAAAGCTGGGAGGGTGAACAAGCACCTGTCAGCCCAAAACCGCTCTCAAACAGTTGGAACTCGAATTTAAACATTCCAGGACAAACCTTGCACGATAAATGTTCTCACCCTTCAGGATCTTGGGACTCTTTGCTTTAGGCTCCTGTGATAAGATTGACTCGGGTTGTTAACATTGTTAGGGGGGTGGCCACTGCTAGGCTGCAGGTTTACTGAAGTAGAGACCCAGCAGGAACCTCATCAACAATTGGACAGGGCATGCCCAGGAATCACAAGGTTCGCATGGAACCTCACGCTAGCCTCTAGTCTTAACTCCTTGCACGCAGAAGTGTTAAGGCTCTATGCTTTTTTCTCAAGGCTCCACACTCTAATGCTTTCGAAGCAAGTCGCCAAGGCTCTAAAGGCCCCATCAATGTGATGATATCGGAGTTCCAGATGCATAAACCGCAATAGTTATGAATCCTAAACCCCCGATCCTGATCTTGCGCCCAGCCGCTGCGGCGCCGGACGGGTGCGGGTGTCGAGGAGCCATCGGTTGTCCAGCAGCGCCGAGGCTCCTTTTTCGGGCTCAGGGTTTGAGGATTCGTGCTAGGGGTTCGGGTTTGAGGTTTTGGGTTTAGGCTTTGGGGTTTGGGGTTCTAGGGTTGTGGGTTTGCATGTTGAAGTTTTGGGAGATCAAGGTGCAGGGACACAAGCTCGCAAAAACGCCAGAAAGCCCAATCTACTCGTTAAGTAAGACCTGTTGGTTAGATCACAGAAGGACGCTTCCTCTAGTTCTTAAACCCTAAACCCTGAGCCCTAAACCCTAAACCCTGGACCCTAAGCCGACATGATTTCCCAGGTTGTATTGCTTTATTGGGAACCCTGGGCACAACCCAGGCTCTCTGGATTAATGTTTAGACGCCTGCCCCTTTTTATCAAACACCTCCCCAGAACACAACAAAAAATCCGGAAAACCCTCCCTGAAATCATCTCCGCCTTGTAAAGCCCATGTTGAAGTAAGGGAGAATAAAAGCAGGAGCAGTAGCAAGAGCGTGCGCGAGAACAAGAGCAAAAAGAAGGAGCAGGCGCAGCAGCCGCAGGGGCAAAAGCAGGTAGGAGTAGGAGCAGGAGAGAAGCAGCAGGAGCCAAAGCAGGAGCCGGATCCCCCGTTTCTTGCGGGGTCCTTTAGTATTCCCGGCAGGGATAGAGGTTTGGGATTCGAGCAACACCCTCTCACAGTTCCCGTATTGCAGAAGCTATCTTCTTCTGTACGACAGTACACAATATGCCGAATTCTAAAGGCCACCTTCGAAGGCAACGCTTTGGATCTTATTCCTGCAGTAAGCCCGATGCTGAAGTAAGGCCTGTTTTGGAGAGTCTTGCAGATGCAATTTCGCCCGCCAACATGGCTGGTAGCTGATTAGACAGGACTTCATACTACGACTTAAGGCTTAAGGAGTCGACCCCCGAACCCAAGGAAGGGGTACTCTCGCTGGGGATGTAATCTCGCCCTTGAGGCCCGTGGCCCGTAGCTCACGTCAGGTCGTTCGCTCACTAAGCTTAACCCTAAACCCTACACCCTAAAGTCTAACCCCAACCGAGGCTCGTAGCTGATGTCGGATCGTTCACTCGTCTCAGCAAAAACGCAGGAGATGTCCAAAAAGGCAGTCTCGGGAGCAGACGTGGCGGGCTGCAGCATCCTCGGCTACATGGTCCCAACAGCTGCGCTTTGGGTTCAGGGTTTACTGTTCAAGGCTATGGGTTTCCGGTTTGGGAGGGCAAAACCCGAAACCCTCAAGCGGCCCCAACCCGAAGCCCAGAACCAAGCAACAGACTCACACGAACTCCCAGTGACCTAAGAGTCCTTTGTCGGCTCTCTTGGGGCATCTGAGGCTTTCAGAGAGGAACATTCCTGCACGGCGCCTTGATGCCGAAACCACACCGCCTGGATTTTTAAGTCTCATGGCCTACATCGTAAAGCCTAACAAGGTAACAAGTTTAGCATCCGAAACTCAACTACCCTGAACCCAACAGCCCCAAACGCCCCGATCCCAAACCCGACAGTCACTGCAAACAGGGAAGGTCCATGCACGACCCTCAGACCCGAAACCTGACACCCAGAAACCTGAAAACCCGGAACCCCAACAGGCGTAACCTATGCACAAACAGTGTGCTTGCTCAATGGGAAGGACGTTGCTTGGCGGCACAAAGGCTGAGCTTGGGCTTTTTTCTGAAGTTTGGGGTTTGGGGCTTTAGGTTGTAGTGTTTTAGTGTTTTGGGGCAAAAGGCTTTAAAGCTTAGGGTTTGAGCCCCACTCGATCGGGGTTTAGGGTCTGAGAGAAAGCTCAGCCACTGTCTTGGTTGAGCGTTTGATTCAGGAACAAAACGGACCATTCTGAGCTCGCATGTCATTTTCTGGCTCTTACACTGGGTTGGAATTCGGAGTTAAGCTCTGGACTGCTAGAACTGAATCAGGGGATCGACACCCTGAAGAAGAATCACCGTCGATGCGAGTCTGTGGATAAAACTAACCGAACTCCCACATGCGTCCAGGGTTCAAGGCTGGGGAATAAAGCCCGAGGTACATTGAGCCCTAGGACTTGAGGCCCACGGAACAAAACCCACAACTTGCGTGGTGCCAGGCATCTGCTGCAGTTTGTGACCATTGGACCTTGCCAGCTTGGCATCCTCCTCGCCGGGACTCCACGCCATCTGCGTTGCGCCTCGGTCCTCGTAGCTGCTTGGCTTGGGGCGTGGAAGTTGGAACCCTCCACATTGCTGCTGCTAGGGCTGTTAGGGCTGTTAGGGTTTAGGTTTTCGGCTTCAAATTTGGACTTGGGCCCTACAAGCCGCCGCAAAGCTGCATGCACATTCCTCACAGCGGTCCTTGGGAAGATGCACTTGCCTTACAGAGAGCGGCGACTGAACTTGAGCTCTTGGCGACTGCTGCCTCTTCAGTGCGGCGACCTCCATGTCGTGGCACTCTGCTAGCAGTGCATGTACCTGGCCCGGAATTGATACAATGGCACAAGCCGTGCTGACCAGCCGTCACCATCCAACCACAATTATAAGAGAAAAACACAAATTGAAACGGGTGAAGCAGGAGTAGTAAATGCAGTGGCACAGGTAGTGGTGGTCGCAGTAGAGAAGATTAGAGAAGCAGCAGCAAACAGCAGCTCACCAACTGCATGACGTTTTCTGGCCGCTAATGTGTCAACTCCCACTCCTTAACGAAGACTGAACAAGGCAGTAGTCAGGCTAAACAATTATGATCATGCGAAGGCTGTTCTCAAACAGCAATCAGGCCTCCGCGAAGCTCGGGACGGATTCTGCCATGGATCCTGGCAAATTCAGCGACGCCGGCTGCAGCCGCTGCCCCAGTGGCAACCGAAGCGATCGTGGACTCGTGTCCATCACGCAAATGGCACTTCGGATGTTGCTGCACTCCAAATAAAACACTGCATCAAGACTTGTAGCTTGTTTCTGAATGCTGTACAACTTGACTGCACAATGCTTTCATATTCCACCGACATATTGTGATGTGCTTGTACCTTTAAGAGAGTTTCTGTGCAGTTGCAACGTGCAAGACAAGCTGAACCAGCTGCGCTACAGACTCAGTCTGGTGAAAAACAAGTCAATCTCCAAAGTTTCACTGTGCAAACTCAGCACGGGTACCGCTCCACGCTGCTTGCTTTGCAGCATTTGCTGTCGAAGTTGTCAAATCATCTCAGCACCTGGGAGTCGTCATGCAGGGTCTATTGCCTTCACGCACTCACACAAAACTGCCTTTACTACTGCAAGCACATAATCGACCCAATGCACATAGCGGCACGAGTTCAAACAACTCCAAAACATGTCCATGTTGACATAGCGCGAAAGCCCAAAAGGGACAGAAACGTGCGGAACGTAAGAACCGGGCAGCGGAACGCAAGTGTTGATTTCTAACAGCACCCCAGATCCACTATCATAGCGAATGTTTACTCCCTCCAGATGCACAAACCGAGCGTTGTTTCTCGAAGCATTACAGATCCAAACTGCCGTCATGAAGCTTTTTCTTGGCAACCCAAGCAAGCCGGCTTCTTGGGCCTCTCAGAAACCACGGAGGTCTCCCTTTAGAGCCTTCTTGATTGAAAAGATAAGAAACTTTTTGCCGAACTGTGATCTTCGTGGCAACTCTTTTTTTGAAGCTGAAGATGGTTGGCATTGCAGGGCTACCGATTTCGCATTGGTTTTACGACTTGCAAAGTAGGACCGCGGAACCACGTGTTTTGTCAGCGCATGCTGCTGCACACACTGTTTCAACCTTCTCACCTTGTGCCTAAAACCTGATACGCAAGTCTCTAGGGCTTTGAGGCTTCTGCAGTTTCTCTGAGGGCTTTGAGACTTTATCCATCAACTGTTCATGACTCCAGTGCAACCATACTGTGGGAAGAAGAAGCAGCTCAATGACAAATCAGCCGTTTCTAAACCTATTTTCTGTGCTCATAAAAACGCCCTTTAATGCTTCCGCAGCAAAGTCAAGCATCAGACGTGTTTTCGGGAGTCGCTACAAGGACGCTGTCTAAAATTACAAGGACACTATGTGAAATTGTCAGTCAGTGTGCGGGTTTTTCGTAGCATCCTTCCAAATGTGCACGTCTCCCAAAGGCTGAAAACGGTCCCAATTTTTGGGCCCACATGAGCTTGTTTTTTTGGAACCAAAGATCTTGATACAGAACAAGAAATACCGTCCAATGTCACCAGTTCTTCCGCAAAATGCAGCTGCATAACTCCGCAATGGCCCTTTAGATACTGCTTGTCTTGAACAGATCTTTGCTTCAAAACAGTCAAGTTCGTTGCAGCCCTTACAGTAGGGTCAGAAGCGGACAAGTGCCACGCGCTTAAGAGAATGGGTGAACTCCAGAAAACAGAAAGAGTGAGCGAGAAGAGCATAGAATCAGCCTAGGCAACGCGCTAGTGTAGTGCCGAGTCGAGATGCCATCCAACGTCTTGGCTTGTCGTTTTGCAAGTGATTAGTTTCATGTTTCTTGCTTCGAAATCATGAGGGCACGGCAGGCGTTCCTATTCCCGAAAGCATCGCGAAGGNNCTCGAGAAATACATGGGATAACTTACATAGGATCAGATACACAGCGTTATACATCTTTGACTTTCTTAACTTGACTTTCTTAACTTGACTTTCTTCAATTACTTAACTTTACTTACTTAACTTAATTAACTTAACTTACTTAACTTAACTTAACTTAACTTAACTTAACTCAACTTAACTTAACTTACTTAACTTAACTTAACTTAATAACTTACTTAACTTAACTTAATTTAACTTAACTTAACTTAACTTGCTTAACTTTTCTTACTTAACTCTTAACTTGACTTTCTTAACCTATTCCGACTTACATCTCTTACTTAAAGTTCAAATATTCTTTCGAAAGCCGGAGCCAGCTCCGACGCCTCTTTGGGGAATGCAACCCTTGCCTGGATTGGCCTGGTCGAGCGTCACGCGTCGTAAAACTTCAAAACGCTTCTCAATGGGTTCAAGGACTTTAAGAAGTTCTTACTCGAGCACTCGTCCACAACAAAACGCAAGACAAAAACGATCATGAAAAAGTGAAATTCTAGGAAACTCCACACAAACAGCGGCGCAAGCCTCTTTTTGAAACCTTGAAGCCTTCTCTTGACAATTTTTAATCCATAACAAGGCTAATGACATGTTTTAGCGTGTTGCAATTCTTGGTTGGAAATGACTTTGTGTGACGACTTGACTGGCTTGTGTGTGACCCACTGTATGTTTCAATCACTGGGACTCTGCATTATTTGGATGGCTTGCGCCATGGTCGCAGGCAAAGCCAGCACAGCTTTCACTTGAGGGCCTGTGCGTTGAAGCCATTTTCTCTTCACTTTTTCAACCCCAGTTTCGGGCTCACAAACCTGGACGGAAGATTGCTGAGGCTGCCAGTGGACACTGTCACAATTCTCACACTTGGCCATTTGGCCAGGAGGAAGTACAGTTGAGGGAATTTGTGTCCACACTACATGTGAAACCGCTTTCTGGCC